GCGTCTAAACTCTAACCTATACCAAAGCCCTTTTATAGTTTTAGGTCATGGTATATTCATGTCATGTGGATACTGTGTTGTTAGCTTTTTTATTTCCTTTCAAAATTTCAAGATATGTCCTATTTTTGTTTCGATCTGCCATTGATGAGAACGCGAGAAAAAGCAAGATTTGATGATTGTAAAGTATGCCGAGACTGTCAATTACCATTGTTTTATACTACATTCCGACCATAAAAAATCCCCGAGAACGTAATTAAGAATGAATGCAATAGCTAACCCTATAGCCTAATCTCACCGGTCACATCCATATGCCAACGAAATATTTACGGAAATAGGAATCATAAATTAATCAATCGAAATTCCTTTAAAGCATAATCAAAATTTGTACTTCCTTGCCAAGGAAACTGAGCTTTCTGCGCACTTGTAGCCTCTCCTTACCAGCCGCCAACCAACCATTACTTGCTCTGCTGGTACTAAAGCATTTTCCATCTCGACGCGCTAATGGACTTGGAAAATCACTTTTTAAAATTATTTCGCTGTGGTGCGGGCAATGCTACGTCGCATGCATGTGATGGATGATATTTATCCTACTTGTATTACTTCTTTAATTATGATATGGTCAGGTCATATTACATACTCAGCTCTCTATGTGTGAGGAAATTAAATGAAATTAACTGCTAAATTTGTTTAATTTGGAATTCCATGATAAGCTGTTGTAATTTTGGGACATATCCTCGCGGAAATTTACTGCGTGACTTTCCAAGAGAAAAATTTAATGATAAGTTAAAGGCTTAACTTGAGAATCTAGAGAATCTATTTATAATTTTTCTGCCCTTCAGTCAAATGTTAAATTCAGTTTCGTATGGCACATCGATTTCTTTCAACAGAAACTTTATTGAATATGTGCTTTCTAAAATTATGCTACTTTGAATACAAAGTGAATTGTAACAGTATTCATAACATACATTCGTTTGACTTATATATCTATAAATGCCTCGGATAATGACCATATATGAACTGTTTCGGTTGAGTGGTTTGTTGAAAAGAGCGAAAATGCGATGACAACGAAAAGAATCTGAATAATTTGTTCTGGGTCCTGAACCAGATCGGTGCATGCGTGATGGGTGTACGTATGCCCGAAATCGTTCTTAATTGTGCGCTACTCGAAATTATTGCACTAATTTCGGTCGTCTATACAATAGTTCGTAACGAAATGCGTTCGTTGTACATGGTTATTCATCAGAAATATTTTTTATTAAATCGCAATGTGCTATATACATTCTATCACAAATATGTGAATAATCGATCAAATTTTATCCTGCATGGAAAGCTGGTAGTAGTCCAGCAAGTGTCGGCATTTTCCTATCGACATAAAATGGTCATCAATAGCGAGCCGCTGTCCGCACCACGCCGTTCTCGAGCGCCTCATCTCCGCGCTGAAAAGCCTCCAGAAATTGTCTGTATAGAATTCCGATAATTTGACTCGTTTGTTTCGTATTGGTTGCGTGGGTTGGAATTGCGTGTTACGGTAAAGTCTCTTGATTGTGGAGACGTACTTGCCGCGTTACGGGATCGGATCCGCCCTATACACCTGCGCAAGCGTCCCGGGATTTCGCGCTGATCGAAGGTCTGTGCATACATCATTTACAATCATACCTAATATGTGAGATCTTTTACTAGTTTTGCGCTTACTGTAATTTCTTGAAAGTTGAACATCAATATTATTGATTCATTACAGTTAACGGAAATATTGCCAGAACATTTTTAATTATTTTGCGCTTATGTCAAGCGACGATAGAGTTCTTCAAACTATGCTGTCATATCCTTCTCATTTTTTTAACGAAGGAAACTTTACGAGTCTTAAGTTAAAAACATAGTATAGATTTTCAAAATATTCACCATCCTTTTCGGTCAAAATTATCAAAGTCACATCACCAAACTCCAAATCCCCTGAGATTTTCCTCCGATTTTATCAATTAGCCTGGCCATGACTATGTGGTGCATTCGAGCTCATAACAACAGACATTGCAGGCTCTATGTACTTCGTCTAAGTGTGATGCATGGTTAATGAAGCCACGTAGTAATGGCCCGCATCATACTCAGAATGCAAAGGCATTTAGTTTTCATGTTAGTCTCCTTCAGTTGTTACGACAGGTCAAGATGAGGCCGGAAGTGCAGATCTAATGACCACCAGGGACTCCTTGGTTAACTCTAAAGCTGCTAGATGAGAGGTCGTTTCGTTGCAAGTAACGAGATAATCGCACACCTAACGCGACCAAAACATTACCTTATGAGACCGTGTGCCGACCTCCAAGCAGGACCAGCCTTCGTTCCTGCCTTCTATGAAAATACGGTGCATCTCAAAGCTGTTCGACTGCTTGTCGCCAGCAGTGAACGGCCTGGATTCTACTTGATTGTGTCGTGAACATTTTCTCTTGAATGATGCCGTATGTTTAGCTTTAACTCTAATCGACCTGCTCTCATCAGGGCATAATTCATTGTTCGGAACTCGAGCGATTAGAAGGTCATTGTTTGTGCTGCCCAAGACAGAATTTGTATTAACTTGATTGATTCGTGTTCCATTTTTTAATATCTTTGATACAACATTTTCTTCTTCTGGGGAGTAAATTTTAAGAAATCTTATTCATCAGTGTTTTATGGAGAGTAGAACTTTGCGAATAATTCCTGGTTTCAAATAAAAATCAAATCCCAATTTAAATTTTGTGCGCCTGGCTCAAGTGTTGCTGCGGTGTCCGGTCAAGCTCTGGTGATCGATACCGAGGGGCTTTTATGCGCCATCGCCCGTAATGGCCCATAGCAGCAATATGAGCGGCATGTAGAGTGCGCGCCTCGCCTTGCCAAACCCAACCTTTTGGTCATTATCGTAAAAATTTTTGGGTTTCGTCACCCAATGAATTTTTCCCGCTAAATGCATACAATTCCCCTCGATTGCTTATCTGTTTTATTTTTTGAAAGTTCGTACGTAGGTGTGTTACTTTTGGATGTGAAGCCTGAAACTGGAAGGATATTTAGGTGATATTCGAGTGCGCTAGTATAACACCTACCTATTCTATCGAATATTCATTGTACTGTGGATTTTTACAGTGATTATGTTACGAGGTACTACAAATTGGAGGAAAGAGATGGAAGTAATAAAAATTTATACTGAAGGAAATCCTTTACTTCTGTATACTGGAGAAAATTTAAATGTGCACTTAATTTGCATAAAATTGGAAGCAAATTTCTAAACATATGCAAAATCGGGTTCAATATTAAATTTGTGTACCAATGGGTTTTTCTTATTAAACTTATTTTAGTTAAAAAACCAGAATAAACGCGGAGGAGACCATTCGATAACAGGGCTCTCCTGCCTCAATAAATTATTTAACTCTAAGAGAAAGTTCGAAGAAAAATCCTCAAGTTTCTGAATAAGCAATGACCTATTCTGAGTCTTATAGTGAGTATTTCTCTCAGATTCTAACTTTAATATTTATTTCTCTAAGGCCTAGCTGAGTGTTTCGTCTGTAGGTTTTACGAATTCGGTTTCATCAGTATTCTGTTACACTGTTAGAAAAAACGGTGAAAAACTGTCCCACTGGCATTCTAGTGGCCGGTCGCCCCGTGAAAATAAACTGTTTCGCCGTTTTTATCAGATGTTTTATGGATTTCTAGTGTTAAACTAGAATAAAAACGGCGACACGGTGTTTCTCTTCACGTGCCGACCGGCCACTGAAACGCCGGTAATACCGTTATAACGGTAATTTTTCTAACAGTGTATAATTACCTATCATGGTGGTGGCAACTATGCGAGGGATGCTGGATCTATTCTTGCTACTTTTCTCAACACCTGCTCATAAATTTTTATTCATCACCCTACCGCTTGAGATAACAGATACTCGACTGGATACTAAGTTACACATTACAAAGTGACACTTTCTATTGGCCTTTCCATGACATAAATGTATTTTTTATTGGTCTTCTGAAGTAAATCAGACCAAACTAACAAATTTAGGTTCTAAATGGCAGAAGTATTCACATTCCAATTGCCAATACATTCAATTAATCGATTTTTGAAGTTCCGTTAAACTCACTGAAGCATTTTGACGCCCGATCCCTCGATTTGGCTCCGTGTGATTTTTCATGTGGTTATCTTAATCAATTGTTTACATTGAGTGTTCAAGCTCCCTATCTCATTTTGGAACATACGCCAAGCCATCGCCAACATACTCGACAATCTGCTTCAGCGAGTTGAACTGAACTTCAAAAATCGCCTAACTGAATGCATTGGCAACGATAGCCGTCATTTGTCCGATGACATCGTTAAAACTAAGTGATACAAAAACTCGGGAAATGTCCTTTCAATAAAATATATTATGTAATGATATCTTTAATACTTCTTTTTTTATGGAGATTTTAAATCAGGGAATTTCATGAATCATCCTGTATTTCCTGGTCTGTCAGTCTTTGCTATTACCCACATCGCCGTATGCTTCACCTCACCCTGTGCGCGATCCACCAATTTTATTGCAGCCAAGTTTGCAGCCTTGGCAGCTATCGATCAGATGGCACACCGCGTGCGGTGGCTACTTTACTAGCTTATTCCTTAAATTTCTACTACGCATTACATCCTATTATTAGTTAATACTTAAGCACTCAATTAGGTTCCTGCACACATTATTTCGTTAACCAGGATAAGAAGGTTTCGTGAACTCGTTTTAATTTCACTCTGATAAAGTATTCGTTCATTTAAAGTGAAACGTACAGCATTATTGGAACCGAATTGGTTGTAATTCGGCAGAAGCTTTTATTTTATGCGTTTGACTAAAGACCAGAACAAAGCATGCTATGGTCTTTAATCAAACTTGCATTATTAGAATGTATATTATTAAAATATCTAATATATGTATTCGTTATATTTCTATTTATAGACCCAAGATTCGTCTTATGAAACTATTTTTCATGCTTTCACATTGTCTAATTTGTCTTTTTTTTCTCAACAGATTTACGGAGGACGAGGAATTAACAGAGAGTAGCTAACAACTAGCCTCCACAAAAATACACTAGTCATAGTTGCCTGGAAATATTACTCTATATCAGTATCAAGTCAAACTAAAGTGAATAAAGAGTGAAGAACTGCCTGCAAACTTAAAGTGCCTTTTCTAAACACGGAGTTAGCATTTGCTGGTGTGAGTTAGTATTTAATTTAACAAATTGACTGAATAAGTTTAGGTAATGTTTTGTTCCGAATGTGGTGCCTTGGAAGGCCAACAATGACGGCTTTACGAGGTCTTTCCATCTCTTGCCAAGAATGACGATTCCCTGATTTTTCGTGAGAAGTGGAAAAAATTTCAGTGGATGCCTCATCGTGCTTCTGAAAGTTTTTCTTGTTTTGTGATGAATTTAATTTTGAACTTGAGCATTTATTTTATGGTTTATTTTAATAATAATGGCTGATAATGAGTCCAACGCACGGAGAGCTTCGACAGGCATCACTTTCTCTACCTCATCTTGCAACGTTCGGCCTTACTCACACGTCATCACGTCTGCTGATAGTAATGCTTATCGTAATCAGTTCCAGGATCACCGTGATGATTCAGGGTTGACCCCTCACTCTCCTCACCATACAGCTTCTCCAATCCCTCGGTCCCCTTTACATTCAGCGTCTCCACATGGGTCACCTCACCGGTCACCTCATCGACTTGGGGATACGTCTTCCAATTTCTTCTCAGAACGGAGGCTTTCGCAATTGTTTGATGTTGATTCATGGATTGAGGAAGATCTCATTAATGGACTCGAGGGTGAAGATCATGGCCGTGAGCCACCTCCTGAGCCCGCCCCGAGGTCTTCATACTGTCCTCCCTCTCCTCCTACGTCCATGTACTCAACAATCGGGCACCAACTCAACCCTTATCAAAGCCACGCATTGAACTACCCCACTCTTTTCGTCAACCCGGAACTGTACCCTGAGCTGTCACCTAGCGACGGCTCAGAGCCTCGATATTCAGGAGACTTTCAGTCCGATTTGGCACGTCTGTCGACCGTGAGCGGAGCCTCCTCTCATTTTTCGTCGCACGTTTTCTCCAATAACGATCAAGGCAACGACACTTACAAAGGCGAAAGCAGTAGTGGTAACTGCGATGCTTCAACTCAGCATCAGTCTTCCCCAAAAAGAAAACCGGGAACTCCTAAAGCCTCGACCTCATCCGCTGATGGGGCGCTTGAATCATCGCATTCTTCATTTTCTGACCGGCGCGAAGCCCTGGAACGAAGGGTAAGCGGCGTTGCTTCTCTGCCATCACTTCTTTCTGAATTGGGACAACAACTCGAGAGTACCCGCGACGATGGCTGGCTCGTTGATCGGGACGATGCAGACGGCAAAGTTGATTGGCAGAACCGTTGCCTGGAATTGGAAATGTCCCTGCAGAAGTTTCGTGATCACGCGGGAGAGATCCGTAACATGCTGCATGATAAGGTCAGTTTAACTCAGCGTGACTTTATATATATTTCTTATTTTACCACAGAAATAACTATATTTAATAAACCTATATCAAGCTATTTTCATACAATCGTGTGCATATTTTATATTTGCTCTTTCTGTTTAATGCAAATTTTATTGTGTGCATAATAATTCAGTCAATGTATGAACAGATGTTCACTTGAAAATGAATTATAATTCCCATGTTGTATAAGGAAATCTAATTCATATCAACGGCCAGCAATCTGTAGCGTTTACATTATTTTGTGTCTTAGACCCAATAATGATTAGGATGTTGAGTGCGAAATTCACAAATTACATTTATAAATTTTATAATTTTCCGGCGTTTGTTGCATTTAATCCATGCTAATGAGACAGGCATAAGCATCCATTTTGCTTTATTTATTTATCAACTAAATCATGATTCAGGGCCAAACAGAATTCAATCTTATTAATAATTTCCTAGCTGTTGAATAAAATATCACGCTCAAGTTTCCTGTCGACTTTATTTGATTAATTTATATTATTGAAACGCATGCAGATTTGTGCGTAATAATTAGTTTTCGATAAAAATTTGATTTCATCGCGATTAACGACTTTTTCCCAAAATTATTCGTTAGACGCAAGATATTTCAGTCAACTGCGCCATTTTCATTTTTGCTTGTTGCTCACGCTGACTTTCGTGTGTAATTTTTTATTTGCTATTATTGGTTTTTACAAAATTTTTATTCTTTTCCTCAACAAAGCAACTGTTCGGAAAGGTAAGTGACTAAGCTTGTAAGGAATCACAGTTAATAATTTTTTCAATAACTTTCCAGCAAAAATTACTGGTATTTGTTTATGCCACAATATATGCACAAGTAAAAATTTTTTTCGGAATCATCAAAGCTTAATATAAAATATATTTTTAGCGAAGATCCTCGCAGGTTTTATACCTTTACTCTCATTACAAGCGCCTGTACAAGCGGGTTTCAACGACGCATACTTTCATTTAAGAAATCCCAAGGTTCAATTTTTCAGAGAATGTCTTTTAAATCTTGTTGATGCTCCAGCCTTTAGAATCTCTCTTTGTTCTCTATTCTTAATACGTTCCAGCGAGCTGCGCTAAATAAGCCAAAATTCTCCCTGAAATTGCTCCATAACAATCTAAACTCTATGCGCTGCGTCACTTTTGCCTCGTTCGAGCGGCGATTGCAACTTCCCTTTCTGCTCCAAATTAAACGTTCGTCGTTTTTAGAGCTTGGTTTTCCTTACATTGGAAGATCTTCATCCAGTAATGTTTAAGTAAAGCTTACTAGCTGGTGTAAGTTGGACTGTAGTGCGACTATATAATTATTATTATAATATTTGCCTTGTGATCCGAAACTAAATTAATACCTAGTGAAAAAGTAGTAAATCTGTACCAAATAGGTACTTAAATAATGTCAAGGTCCATAAAGTTTTCTTCTGTACTCAAAATGAGTTTCTCTTAATGTCAGCAAATATTTTGTATGCGTGCTGCAATTGTTGCATAATACACTGGTTACAAAATTAGACAAAATTCCACAAAATGGAGAAAAGTTTTGTTACCGTTTTACTGAAGACTCTAGGGTAGTAACTAAATTAATTTCACTCAATCTTGGTGATTTTGAAATTTGAAACTATTGAAGCCAGCATTCAATATGAATGTTGAATTATGTTCACATGCTTTTCGCTGCAATTCACTATTAAATTCACCTCAGTTTGAAAATGAAAAGCTAACTTGTTATATTTATTTGGGGTGAATATTTTTGTGTTATCATTCCTGTGCATTAATTTTGGTTAATCCGGCATCGGGTATCATGAATCAATTGGATGGATAACATAATGGATGTATTACATGCAAAATGTATTAATGATCTTGTCTCGCTGTTTTACGAGGTGCACTTCGACGTTGTATATCACCCAATTTTCGTGCATTTTTTCTGTCATTTCTCGAATAAAACTTCATTTGTGCGATTTTGAATGTGATTTTCAAACTGCTCCTGTTATTCATAGTGATTTTTCGTGTTGATGTTCCGGGTGCTTGTCTCAGTATTTATTTGCTAAATTCGTTTAGTTACCACCGTCCTTTGAAAATATTTGATCAAAAGAACTATTTTTAGATCTATGAACAAGTCACGAAAAGTCCAAGAATCGGCGGCAGGCCTATCCATGCCTATTCTTCTACGCCGAAGATACTATACTATACTATACCATACTATACTATACTATACCAGTTAACACAGTTCTTTTACCGGTAGCTGTGTAAATCCTGCCAATTTTTTTATATTGATGTTTGTTTTGTTAGTAATATTGTCGATCACGATATCTCTATGTTTGTGTTGGTGGAAAGCTTCTTGCACACTTTTTTTTATTACACCCTCTGCTTCAATCTTGAGATAAGGCAGGTCTTTGCGTAGATTTATTCGTGTGATACCGCACTATAAGTTGGCGCAAGTTGTATTCTTGTGCAGGTTCTTGAAATGGTGCAATTGAGCAATCGGGACCTGGTTTGTGTTTTACGGCAGTCAGAGAGACTCGTACTCGTCTTATCTAAACTAACCGAAATCCCATGAGCGCTCTCGTTTTGCGCACGCGTGGGTGGAGTGTGTGTTATTTCAGGCTGCGATGCGTCATTTTTGATCTCGCTACTCGCTTACATCCAACGCCAAATCAGGCTATTACCTTGACTATCTTGTACAGGAAAGTGATTGATATCATTTTAACGTTTATGTAGTGAATTTGTTGGCGTATGATGGGTTGGTTCCTTAGTTTCTCACAGCAGGGATTCATTAGGCCCATGATTGCAATCAACGTTGGTTTATTTTTTTATAATATGCGACATTAACGAAGATTTTCTTGATGAACATTGATTATTATTTCAAGTCTACGTTTCGTTTTAATTCTTCTTAAAGTCGAAAATAATTTCTTAACTGCCCTGAAGATTTGTTATTATTATTTTTTTGCTGGGAATCTGTTTTCCCCAAGATACAAGCGTCTTGTGAATCGCTCTTGTTTTGCACGAGGTTCCCTTGCTGCACGGCTAAGGGCCTCTCAGAATGTCAGACTCGCTAGAATTTAGTTGTTTACTTCTCATTACTGCAAGGAATTCTGTATCTCGAGCGCGTCTGTTTCATTGACGTGCCCGTCTTCCATCCGAAGTATTTCACTTGAAGCATTCATGCAGGGAATTGTATCTTACAAAAAATACTCAGAATTTTACGGGAAGTTTTGTATCATATATGTTTTTGTAGCGATTATATTCATGTAACACTTAATAATTGTTAACAAAAACATTTATGTGTATATCATCATACTTTTGTCGTTTTCTTTATTGTCGCAATAATTTGACGTTGTAAGTAGATTTGTTTGATTTCCTTCCAGCAGCACTCATTTCCTTTTCATATTGTTCATTTTTAAAATCCGCTTAAATTCATTTAATTTTTTCTTCTATTGTGTTTGAACAATTTCAAGTTGGATACACACATTATAATAATTGGACCCGATGGTATGAAAAATAGCTTCATTTTTATAATTTATAAATGTAGCACCCACAGTAAGTATTTAAAGGGGAAATGATTCATGTTGATTTGTCTCTATCTCTCATTTACATCTTGTCAGTTCTAATCCTCTTGAAAGTGTTTCTTGTGCAACGTTCGAGTTGTGAGGTAGGAGATTATTTTGTTATTGAGCAAAGATTTTTAGCGTTTGTATAGGTACTCCATTATTTGTCTGTGCACACAAACAAACTAGCAACTAACACCAACAACTTTGACTACGAGCGCCCGATCATGCAGTATCGCCGAACTCTGGGTTAGTTTTGTCATCGCGCTTCATTTACTCTGCCACGACGCGTAAGCTTCATTAGATGTTTCACGGCGGCATCTTTACGACAAATGAACGTGACTTTAATGACACGCCTGCCAAACATTTCCTGCTTAATTGAATACTTCCTCTTTTCCTATCTTAACTCTCTACTCTACGCGCGTGAATCTCTCATAGATACTCAAGTCTCGATGAGTGAGTGTCTGCTCATATGAGGAGCTCAATCATTTATTTATCTAGCATCTGATAATTATGCGCGGGTAACTAGGCTACACTTGTATCTCAATGGGCCATTGAATAGGCACCGCTAGAGTTAATGGGGTATTTTAAGCGATATTTAAGCTTAGTGTTGATAAAAGAGGTAGAGGATTATTACGCGTAAATACAAGGTGCAACGGCTTTACTGTGCGGCTTCTTATCCGACATTTTGTTGATTGTGGTCAGGCCTGTTTTAAGGTGTTCTTAAATTCTGTGATGTTTGATGCAATTTACACTTGTGATGCGCTTGCAATTTATTTACATGTGATCTTCTCTTAAATTTTTTTTACGATAAAATTTCGAAGTATGAAATGAATGCAGGCTGAAAGTGAATGGTTGAGTTTTCGTAGTAGATTCTTTACAGTTCACCTGCAGCCTCGACTTCGTGACGGGTGGCAGGGAGCTGGGGCTATTACAAAGTTTTTCACAACCTGCTCAGCTTTATTCAAACATTTCAAATATTTTCAACGCTGTTATAGCAGTGAGGAGAGAAACATTTTAACTCAAATGTACGGCAGATCGCATGTGCATGTTTATGGGCGCCCAAACTCCTACTTTTATGGATGTCTTTATGGACTTCTTATCCCGTGCAGTTATCGCATAGTTTCATTACTTTTTTAGCATGGTTTTAGCCTCATTTTATGGGATCACTTTAAATTGTGCGTCGTGCTATCTACTTTACGCTTCCTGGCGTCATCCACTTCATAGTTCGCTGCCTACTAACTTTATAAGTGAATTATCAGCTGCTGCTCCCCTTCATTCTCTCTAACTTAGCTTCTAGTATAAAGTTTTTATCGATAGGAATCTTCGTCAAAAGCCCTTCATCCTTAGTAATACGCACCACTATTTTATAGCCGTCTGCCGTTTATGTTCGCATCCTGCGGCATATAATTCTTCGCTAACTCATCAGAACACACGGCGTGTTTCCATCTGAGGAATTTGTAATGTACTGCAATAATATGAATATATAATAATATGAATAATAATATAATATGAACAATATATTATATAGATAATATATAATAATAATATGAATAACAATATAATAATAATATAATATGAACTCAATGTCCCTTAAATCTATTGTGGGTTGCCAATTTTATTGCCCAAAGAATATTTGAGCTTATATCACCTAATTTTCCCCAAAGTATCGAAGTGTTTGATGATTGTCACGACCAAGTCACCGCCATGAAATAGCCTGAGGTTCATAAACGCTTTTCAATTTTGTTTTGATTTAAAAGTTGAAATAATTCTACCATTCGTTAGGCGTTATCAGTGGAGATGTCGTCTTGTCTACCAGTCATGAAAAATAATTCCGAAAATAATGTAGTTATTGCACTGTCTTGCTCTGCTTGAATGACATTGAATTAGGATTCAATTTCGTGTATAGTATTAGTCATTAAATAACATCAATGCCACTGAAATATCACAATCATTCCTGCGACATAAGATATTAATATTTAAAAATCATATTCACCTGGAAATTTTTACAAGACCAACGTTCATTCAGACAATTTATTTTGCTTGTTGCACAGATAAGTGAAACATGCATTGAAGTCAATATTCAAAGACTCAAATTTAAATTTATCAAGATTGTTCAAGTGAATCAACATTCTTATGCTTACTGATGATGAATCTGGCAGGCTACATCACCCGGGCGCCTGCGTGGTGTGCTCAT